CTGTCTGACTGAAGGGGTTAATTAAAGAAGCAGTGATCCACAGTGGCTGGTTCTACGTAATTCCTGTGATCACCTACACAGCAGGTGAAGTCTTCACCTAGACTAAGGTTTAGTCTCTGAATATATATAATTTTGACAGTAAAAACAAGCCCATTTATATTGAAAAGGAGCCCTAGGGAGACCAGAGATTCTGAACCTGAGGAAATCTAGACTTGCTTTATTTAGGGCTTTAGCACTGCAGAGAGGGCTTGGCAGTAGGGAAATTAATGTGGTTCAGGGACTGTGAGACAGACTAGTCTTCACCCTGAACATGCTAAATACATGCCCTGTTGAGGCTAATCACATGTTGAAGCAAGTTTCTAAGTGAGTGAGTCAGGTTTTATACTTATCGTGGAGGAAAGTGATAAGCATCATTCTGACAAGCTTAGAAAGATAATCATTTAACGCAATATCCCAGCTATATGGTGGCAGTCTGTAAATAATCGAGTCTGGACCAGACAATCCATTGATCAACAGCATGAACATCGATATACGCAATTGGGATGTGATGACAAGTGTCAACCAAGTCAGCCAGCCTGACCACCCCATCCTGTTAGTCGCCTCTTACAAGCATGGGTTACTGAAGACCAATTCTAACCCAGATCTTCACAAGGGACAAAGTTTCTTAAGATGAAGTGGTATTCAAATCTATGATCACTGCAACTTTCTGACACTGTAGAGTGAGTGAGTGAGTGAGTGAGTGAGGAGTGAGGAGTGAGTGAGTGAGTGAGTGAGTGAGTGAGTGAGTGAGTGAGTGAGTGAGTGAGGTTGAGTGAGTGAGTGAGAGTGAGTGAGTGAGTGAGTGAGTGAGTGAGTGAGTGAGTGAGTGAGTGAGTGAGTGAGTGAGTGAGTGAGTGAGTGAGTGAGAGTGAAATTTCTTAGGTACAAATGTACTTGTTTATCAAACATATATTTCGGTATTAAGGGGGTCAGGCCATGAAGGATTCCAATGAATGTAACTTTGCATGGTGAGTGAGTGAGTGAACTTGCTTACTAATCATTTATTTCAAGCCCTACTTTTACTCAGACCCATCATTATTCTGGATTGCGTGGTTGACTGTGCAACATTAGACATTATACAATGTGGATCACTGCTCAAATATCAATCTCTGATTTAAACTAGAATAATTATGCAGGGATTTATCAAGAATTACAAACTAGATATCAAGTGGAAAAAAACATAATTTCCATAAATTCAGGATTATATAAAAACTTCCGTCAGTGTAGAACTATAAACATCAAAACCTCTTTGTTGTCAAAGCCATGCGGAAAACGTAAACATAATTGTGTGAAAATTATGAAACCTGTTCAAATGACAGACAGCAATCGGTTTTTACTTCTTTACACTTTTATGTCTACTGAAAATGGGTGAATAAAAATTAAATTCAAAGAATGAGACAAAGCATGTTTGGGCTTTGTTTATTGTCAGCCCTGGTAATTGATGCATTCAATAAAAAATGTACAATCTGAAAAGACACACTGGTATGCAAGCTTAGAAGGGTACAATGGATATTCACACACTATTGCTATCAGAGGCTGTATTGTAAATGTACATACTCTTAAACAGTTAATGGTTGTATATTATGTTTAATGTCTCACAAGCCCTAAAACCATATACTTTTCCCTCCTGCTGAGCCCTTTCTGCAAAGCAATTCCCTAAATGAAGCAAGTCTTCGTTCTTCTTCAGGTTCTGAAACTCTTATTTATCAGAGGCCTTTCCATTTTAAATGGAGTTAGGATACAGAGCTCCAGATAAGATTTAGCTCATGTGGGTACTGTACCCACTGTATTTTTTTGGAGTGGGTATTATGAATGTTGAGTGGGTATTTCATTACCCACTGCTTTCAAATATGTGCATATTTCAGTCATTTTACTCACCTAAGTATTATGTCATTGAGTAAGTTTACTAAGCAGGTATGTTCTGCCTTATGTCATACCTAATCAAAACCAACTTAAATATAATGGAAATGATTTCATAAAAAATCCCTCATCCTATACTGACAGTACAACACTAGTCCTATACTAACTTGATAGCAATCGATGTCTTTCTCATTACGCAAGCGATTTTTATGAATATATTCCGTACGCATTTGTTTTAAACTTTTTGCGTATCTAACATTTTAAATGCGTAATTGGTACACAACAATTATTTTTCAATGCGTAATTGAAAATTTTCTATGCGTATTTTCCCTGGATATGCAGCTTATCTGGGCCTCTGACGATAGTTGTGTTTATGAATACAATATACAATGTACATTTAGAGACTTAGCGTTAGTTGAACAAATTGCTGCAGCTTATCTGGAGCTATTGATATGTTACATGCACTTCATGCGACGGCGTCCAATTTGTTAACTTTGTGAAAAAACAGGTTGTTAGTTATCAGCTAAGGCATCATGTCTCATATAAGCTAGTTTCACAAACTGACAAACCGAAATAAATTAAATTAGAAACAAAATTTAATAACTTTGGACAAAAATGAACGTCTGATTGTTTCTTTAGGTGTCATCCCTGGAAAGTGTAAATGACATAAGCTAATAAGTTACAGCTGCTTGGAGGACCACACCACAACAATTATTAAATCGACAGCTCGTTGAAATATTTCAATGAAGTTTCACCAAAATCCCAACAAGAACACTTCAGTTGATTACTGAGGTGGCACATTAACAATGCAAACAATTGAAACTGTTTTCTCTCCTTTTTTTAACCACCTACATTGAACTTCATGACAGTAGCTTGTAAATCATTAAATGAACTAATAATAAAGACTAGGCCTACACAATCTGAAACAAAGAGCATATTCAAAGTATTCTAAAGGCTCAGATGGCTAGTGAGGTTCTTCAAGAACGGATCATTCATCATTAGCTAGCCCATCTGGCCACTGGCTGTTCCTATATATAGTCTCGTCGGTCCAAAAATACAGTCATCCTATTTAAAAATATATATCTACTATCGACATACATAACCCGAAGAGATCCCAGAACAATGCTGATCTTATCCACCAGAGACAATCCAGACTTGAGCTGGAGTCAGGTTCTACTGTATTTTAATGAGTCTGGCAGATCAGTTAATCCACACTACTCATATCTTACTGATATTAATTCTATTAGAAACCCTCTCCCCCCTTCCCCTCTCTCTGCATCAATGTAATCATACATGCATCTGTAAGCAGAACAGGACTATGCTCTGATTGAATGAAGCTTTATCCCCCTCCTGAGGTTGATAATTAGATTATATCACATCGTATCCCCTTGTATAACCCTGTTATGTGGGATTACATATATCTCCTTTATTAAAATTCCATTGGTCAGTGTTGTTACAGTTCTACTTACGGTAATGAGGCTACTTAAAGGGGCACTTGGCTCTGGTCAATGGGCAGTCACCCAGCCTGATGGATTCAAGTGTTCAAACTGACTTTCTCATATGTAATGACACACATCTGTCTTTCAAACAAGGCACTCGTTATAACTTCCAGATTTAGACACATGTAGGCCTCCCATTGTGAACTTTTGAATAAAAGAAACAAATTGAAAGTTCTAACAAGGCATTTCATTGGCTAACCATAAATAAGAGTGCATGTTTATACGACCACAAGCAGACTTCTGTTACTTGATTGGTTGACAACAAACTTGTTCTAGTTGAATTCGATAGCACCCTAAATAGACTGTCAATAACAGTTTAAAATTGAAGGGGGAAAAGTCAGCCCCCTTAAGTTTAACTGCAAACGTTGAAACACAGAATGGTCTGTGAACTTAAATTCTACAATACATATCACCCCAGTGGTTACTCATAACTCAGATTACATAGTGACGAAGTGGGTTTCACAGCACCTACTACTTACCACATAAAAGAATTATTTTCAGTAAACAATTCTATTCAAATCCCAAATTTGAAAATATAAATTAAAAATCCCAATTATCCTGACATTAGGGCATGTGTTAAATTTTACTTAATCCTTTCATGGTCAGTAAATGACATATCACTGTTTTGGGGTATATCACAATGGTGATATCCAACTGGTCCACAAAGGGTTTCAGACTACAAATATGCATTTAAGTTTAAACCAACTTAAGTTCCCCCAGATGACACTAAGAAATTGGTCCGATAAATATAATTGTATACATGAACCCCCAAGTGTTAAGGAGCCCTCACGTATCTTAATTTGAGAGCTAGATGATGGGATATTGGTTATCGGAGCTGACAAGAGGATGTAAGCTGAATGGGGTAAAAGTCTTGTTAAAGATATGTTCTGAGGTAAGAGAAAGGGGAACAAGGGGTGGAAATAACCCATTGCCCGACGTCCGAGTCCAGTGTTTTTTTCTGTCGGGCAAGCAAATTTGTATATCACACTGTACCGGTGTCCAGTTGACTTTCCAATGTTAATAATGTTGTTTATTTAAAAAATCAACAAGAAAACAGCCGGTATAGTGGAAAAATGATCAGGGCAAGTGATTTTACATGTGCCACTGTACCAGAGTACATTAGCAATTTTAAAGTTATTTCCACCCCTGGAAACCAAGATGAGACACAACTGTGTGTCAATTGGTATTATGATCTTGGTTACTCTGAGAACTGATTATTATTTTTGAAAATTGAGTGATTATAAACCACAAACACCATTACAATGATAAGCACCTGGTGTTAATAATGGATACAGTCATTTTTATCACATAATTCTTGGATCTGTAAATATCACCCATCTACATACGTCTATCTTCAACATGTAGCCGGTAGAGGATTTGCATTAATATTGAGTCATGGAGTCAGATTCTCTTTTGACATGATTTCTCTGAATATATAAACAAAAAATATGTGAAGACGGTGTAAGATGTGAGTGAAACACTAGCAGCTCCCACAATATCAGCATCAGCACACCATGTCTACATTCTGACAGTTACAGCCAGATGTTACAATATAATGATCGTAGACCTTATAGTAAGGAGATATATAAAGGATGCACTTACAGCAGACATTTTCCACACGAGACAATGACTTTTTAATTTGACACAAGCTTCGCGTCTGCTACCTGTAGATCCAAGGTCACAAGTGTCCTGCCGTCATACTTGTCCACTCCCCATGTGAATCAACACATCAACACAACAACGAACACAACAACAGTCAGTTGCGTATCATCTGCTCTCCACAGGATCCGAGAATCTTACACAACAGAACCACCTTTCAAACACTGAACCAACAACCGGACCACTGGATTTATAAAAAAACTTGTTCCAAGTCAAATCCTTGCTTTGAAGTAGTCCAATTATGTGTTATCCTTAAAGCTGAAGAGTTCACTGAAGCAAGTCAAATGTCACCTTACATAAGACAACAGCATACCTGTGCCGTGACTACCTTCAGGCTGTACAGCGTCTGACTTGTAACGACCACACGCTGTTCACCTGTGCCGCTAGTGAGGAAATTCAATGAGGAGATGATGTGTGCGATAGCTCAGTGTTTGCACTCCCCGTCCAACCAAACAGTCCACACTGTCAAATGTCTCACTGACGGACTAGTCCTCACTGCCTAGGTTCTCACTCAGTGGGGCGGAAAACTTGCACAGGTCATGAGCTACTCTGTTCACACTTAATCTTTGAAAGGAAATCTTGTAATGCCAATCAGGGTTGAATCTCTTCTGTTTCAGATCTTGTGAAAGTAGTTTGAATAAATATTTAAACTGCGGGTAATTAGAAGGTCATGTAAAAACATGGCTGGCCTTATGAAGTCAAGTGGGATTGAGAGGAACGGAGCGGAGTGGAGTGGACTGCCCAAAGCAAGTATTGTTACATGTTTTCAGTCAAGACAAGGGTTTGTCGGTCCACACTTGATTAGGTATTTTGTATTAAAGTCACAGTGTGGAGTGGATTGTAGTGGAGTGGAGAGAAGTGAGTGAGTGAGTATAATTTTATGCCGTTTTTAGCAATATTCCAGCAATATCACGGCGGAGACACCAGAAATGGGCTTTACACATTGTACCCATGTAGGGAATGGAACCCAGGTCTTCAGCGTTAAGAGCGAACGCTTTAACCACTAAGCTACCCCACCTCCCCAAGTGAGTGAATATGATTATATGGCACTTTTAACAACATTCCAGCAATATCATGGCGGGGGACAAAAGATATGAACTTCACACATTGTGCCCATGTGGGGAGTGAATGCTTTAACCACTAAGCTACCCTACAGTCCATGCAGTGGAAAGGAGGGGAGAGGGGCAGATTGTAGTTGATGCTAGTAGGGAGGAGAGAAGAGAGAGGAGAGGAGAGGAGAGGACAGGAGAGGACAGTACAGGACAGGACAGGTGGGATTGAGTTGGTCAGAGTGACTGATGCTTGTATTGCATGTGATGTTTTAATTTGTATCAAACCCACCATGTGGACTGACTGACTGACTGAGTTAAGTTTTACGCCGCTTTTAGCAATATTCCAGCAATATCATGGCGGGGGACACCAGAAATGGGCTTAACACATTGTGCCCATGTGGGGAATCGAACCCAGGTCTTCGGCTAGACGAGCTCACCATGTGGAGTGGCTTGTAGTGTTGTATGGTAGGGTTGGGAGTAGTGGTGCGGACTGGAGTGGAGTGGAGAGGGGCAGGGCAGGGTAAACAAAGCATGTATTGTTCCATGTTTTAAGTCTCTTGTTGACAGGTCCACACTTGATAATCTTGTATTACAAGCCACTGTGATATACCTGTAATACTGCACAAAGCTGTGATAAACAACACACTCACTCACTCACTCACCATGCTAACACATGCAATAACAGTTTTGCCAATCACATTTCCACAAAACATGCGACTAAAGCAAATTAGCAAATGTCAAGTACAATGACGTAACTGTGGCAACTATAGAAGGTGTAACCCCTGCAAGCTTGAAGGAGGTGACACATTTATCACCCAAACACACTACAGGCAGGTGACAGAATGAATCAGCCTCACGCAGGCAGTCACTTCGCTGTTTTTACAACGTGACCTTCAGCCCTTCAGTGAAGGCGATTCTTCTACCATGTTTGTGCATACGAAAGCATTTTTTCTCCATTGTATTTTTATTTAATGTCTTAAAACTGGCTTTATAAAATAAACAACTTTTTCTACAAATCTGTAGAGTCTAAAACTTTTAACCACAGTGTTTGCTTTATCAAGATTCAAAACCACAGATTTATGACAATCTGTGTCCATAAAAGAAGGGAGGTAATTCTTAATTTGTTTCTTTCCATATTCACAAGCTAATGTTTTCCTTACCTTTTCGATTGAAAGGTTTTCTTCTGGTTGGAATTAGGAAGAGGGTAGCCTGGTGGTTTAAGTGTTTGCTCACAGTCCCAGTTTACTATAAATGAACAATGAGTGAAAAGTCCATTTCTGGAGTCCCCCGACTTTATTCATGCTGGTTGGCACACTTACATTCCAAAAGCCACTCCAAAACATCTTTGTCAGCTTTGTGTGCTACACAGGAAAATAGCTTCATTTCTATCTCTGCACCAAGAGCTGAATAAATCGAAATCACTCATTCACTATTTGTATGAACTCTCGGTTTGTCAGGAAAGGTGACTCAACCCCTACTATCGGATTTTGCAGTCTACACTGGATTTGGGGCAGAGGAAGTAGGGATGTGTAGGTGACATGTCTACTACACCTGGCAGCCCTGCAATATCGCTAACTTTTTATCTTACCTGGATGAGCGACTCACTCTGACAGGAATTGCAAACGGTGGTGAGGTGAGGTGAGGTGAAATTGGGTTTTACGTCGTGCTTGAGAATATTTCGCTCATATGACGACGTGCATGCGTGTGTATGTGTATGTGCGGCTGCTTGTACTAGCCCAGACTGAAGCTGGTTTTACAGTGCTAGCCCACTGAGATACCATGCCGCAGTGAAGCACGAATACCCCACTCAGACACATTATACTGACTCCGAGCCGACCAGTCCTTGTTGTACCCATTAATGCCGAGCGTCAGGCAGGGACCAACAAGTACCATATTTTAACGTCTTTATGACGCGGTCGGGGATCGAACCCGCGACCTTCCACTCTCCGGGCGGACGCTCTAACCACTACACCACGGAGGCGGTCGCAAACGGTGGTGAGGAAAACACAAAATAAAATGTCAGTCCAGAGAATAAACAAATGATTATTGTCTTATTGATGGATGTAAGTATTCTTTGCCGACTTTTTCCTTTTTGTCCAAGAGTCATGTTATAGGGCCATGCATACCCATTCCCTCCAAAAAAATAATGTATCAAGTTGGCAGAAAAAAATGGGCTCAATTTTATCATCTTTCATTTTTCAAAAATCATAAACTCACTGTCCAGACTTTTTCTTGTCTTGAGTTGATTTTGATCCCCCCTCAACCAAACGTAAACATGTAAAAAATAACAAAAATGTAAATTTTCACCAAAGTTCACCTCTACAGTTAGGACTCGATCCAACAAATACTGGCTTATTGGGAGTGTCTGAAATCTGCACCAAATCTATGAATATCCATCTAAGGAATATTTATAAAGCGAAATATCAGCACATTACACACAGGTTTATTGTTGCAAATATGAATCCCCCCAGAGCATTCTGGGTATGACTGAAGATGAGATGAAAGATCAATCTATAAACAAAAATGAGTTAACTTTTTTAAAAATCATCGACTGACCTAAACAATTTGGATAATTGATGCTCAAGACTTGTCAGATTTGACAATGAGATTTGACCTGCATGTTGATGTGTTCCATATCTTAAAAAAGTGAGCTCGGTCTCCAGGATTTGTTTAGTCTTGTTTGTTGTTTAACACCGCACCCAGCAATATTCCCAGTCAATGAGCCTGACCACCTGATCCCGTTAGTCACCTCTTTCGACTAGGATGGGTTGCTGAAGACCAATTCTAACTGGGATCTTCAAGGGTCCCGCCTCCAGGAAGTTACATGACATGTTTATGACTTGTGTGGTCCTCCAGGTCTATGAGACCAGTGACAATGTGTATAACTGGGTAAATTGTCAGCATAGCAGAGACTGACTTGAATATTAAAGCTTTGTCTTGGTTCAAATGATATAAGAGTCTGTCAAGGGTATCAGGCAAGGGTCACCCCAGAAACACAAAAGTTTCATTATGGGTAGGTGATGAAATAAGTCTCAAGGGAGACAGTATCTGTGTCATTAATATATCTAAGAAGTAATTATACTTGTGACAATCTAAAGGGGAGATTGTACTTTAGATTCTACTTCACAATAACATATCTAGTGGAGATTGCACTTCAGATTGTACTTGTGACAATAACATATCTAAAGGGAGATTACACCTGAGATTACAGTTGAGGTTGTACTTGTTTCAATAATATATCTAGTAGAGATGGTACCTGATATCGTACTTGTGACAATAATATATCTAGTTTGTTTAGTTGTTGTTAAAAAAAACACCGCACTCAGCAACATTCCAGCTATATGGCGGCAGTCTTTAAATAATCGAGTCTGGACCAGACAATCCAGTGATCAACAGCATGAGCATCGATCTGCGCAACATTTGCAATAGATGTGACTTGATAACGGTCTCAGCATCTACACCAAAACGTTGCATCTATTGCAATAGATGTGACTTGATAACGGTCTCAGCATCTACACCAAAACGTCGCATCTATTGCAATAGATGTGACTTAATAACGGTCTCAGCATCTACACCAAAACGTCGCATCTATTGTGACTTGATAACGGTCTCAGCATCTACACCAAAACGTCGCATCTATTGCAATAGATGTGACTTGATAAGGGTCTCAGCATCTACACCAAAACGTCGCATCTATTGTGACTTGATAACGGTCTCACGCATCTATTGTGACTTGATAACGGTCTCAGCATCTACACCAAAACGTCGCATCTATTGCAATAGATGTGACTTGATAAGGGTCTCAGCATCTACACCAAAACGTCGCATCTATTGTGACTTGATAACGGTCTCAGCATCTACGCCAAAACGTCGCATCTATTGCAGTAAAGAAGTTGTAAATTAATTCTTCTCAATCATTATACCAACTTCTAAATGCCACTTAAAGAAAAATGAAATTCTGAAAAATACTATTCAGACAACCATCATCGATTTCTAACACAAACACGTCGATGTTCATATTACACCATGTGTTTTCAACACATTCACTGGACTGAGGCAGGTGTTCCTAGTAATCTATACATGTCCAGGTTTAACACTATCGACATGCCGTTGAGCTGAAGGTCACTTTCCACTACTGTCATCAAAGATGACCACCTGGACCGTGTGTGGTTACTGTGGACTCTCAAATTCCCTCATGTAAGAAGATGTCACACATTGTCTCATCTGCTCGCCACATCCGGCTGTGTTACCGACTAGATTCAGCTTTATATTTAGACCCATTTTCCTGTTGCTGTGTGTCTTTGAGGGGCATCG